GCTTGGTATACATAGGAGCGGACAACATGGGACATCTCTTTTGTATGACATTATTATACTTTTTTTGAAGACGTTCGATGATGATCATGTTATTTGTAGATGGAATAGTCGAGTAGGTGAATCTAGTTCAGGTCAGTTGCTTTGAAATTGAACTCTAAAGATGAGATTTCCTGACTTTCAACAACACCTAGACTATAACAGGTTCTTCTTGACAAACTTAAGAAACTAGATCCGTATACCCATATTATAATATTATATATATAATAAAGCTTGAACTATCCCTCAAGAGCAATTGGTTAAACGCTCCGGCTTTATGGATAAGATTCAGCTAGCCTGATAAAGGTGATTATAATATACAATAAAGCTTGAGTTGTCCCTCTAGAGCAATTGGTTAAATGCCTTGGCTTTATGGATACTATAATTATAATCTCTATACAATGATATTGAGATGTCCCTATAGAGCAATTGGTTAAATGCCACAACTTTATGGATTCAGCTAGTCAGATAATGGCAAATTAAATAAGGAGTTTCGATAAAGATGGACTAAGGTAGTTAAGAAACACCTGTTATAGTCAATATCACACGAGCACTCAGGAATTTCATTTTTAGACCAATATTTTCGCACTGCCTTTGTTAGAGGAGTCTACAAAGCTTGAAAAAATGGAAGATTTTAGAGGACTGAAATAGAAGGTCTATTGATCATGCTAGTTGCGTCATTTTGTCCGCATCTAATTAAAATGTCAAGCTGAAAAAAATATGTTGCAATAACTAAATGACATTTCTTGATGGCTGAAACCTTAGAAAACAAGAAGCCAGCCTAAAACCAATTCATCAACTTAAATATTTGTCAAAGAGCTATAACTCTAAAAGCATTAAAAGAGTTATTGATTTTTTTGATATTCTTTGAACTCATGTTTATGATTTGATTCGATTGCGAGCCTGAATTAAGGAGCAATATTTTACAGAAATTTTATAATATTCTTTTCCCTCATAAAATAAGAGAAAGGATAAAAACATTTTCAAACAGGACAATCTCAAATATGAAAGGTCATTGAAGTTGAAACCCGAGAAGAAAATGGGGCACGATCGATTCCCAGGACCAGATCGACTGATAAAGCATGAGACGCCATCCGGAAATAAAACATAACTCATTCATGTTGCATGCATCTTAGGCATACTTAAGAGCATCACATTTATCATTTTTCGCATACATAATTTTTGCAGCTTTAAAGTCAAGTTTCGACTTCAAGACGAAGGATACTCGATTAAAAAAAACCTTTAAAGATCGAGGGTGGTTGGTTAACTCAGCAGCGAGAAGCTACACCTCAACCAACTTGACAGATTGACAGATCTCAGAATCAATTTCAGATGGGTTCGAGAACCAGTTCAGAAAGAATCCAATTCAACTCAACTCAACAATGAGTAGCAGGTTTCCAGTTAACATTTTCCAGCCAGATTTCAATTCCACAATGGAAGAGATCCGGCTGATAGAATTTATCAGTGGACTTTCCTGTGAAGGGGAGTCATTCAAAGATCATCCCACCTGGTTCAGTCCCCCTCAGGGGAACCACCTGAGAATTATGACTGGCTTAGGCCTGTGAAGGGAATCCATTTTTTCCCTATTTGCAGCATAGCTCAAGGAAAGAAGGACTATCTGCCAATAAAGACTTTCGAGTTTGATTACACTCAGCTCAAAGGTACATCATTTGCAGTATAGCTCAAGGTAAAAAGGGTTATATGCTAACAAAGACCTTCGACTTTGATTACACTCAACTCAAAGGCACATCATTTACAACATAACTCAAGGCTATAATGGTTATCTGTTACACTCAGCTCAAAGGCACATCATTTGCAACATAGCTCAGGGCAAGAAAGGCTATCTACCAACAAAAAACCTTCGAGTTCGATTACACTCAGCTCAAAGGCACACCATTTTTAGCATAGCTCCAGGCAAGAAGGGCTATATGCCAACCAAAGACCTTCGAGTTTGATTACACTCAGTTCAAAGATACATCATTTGCTGTATAGCTCAAGGTAAGAAGGGTTATCTGCCAACCAAAGACCTTCGAGTTCGATTACACTCAGCTCAAGGGCACATCATTTACAACATAACTCAAGGCTAGAAGGGTTATCTGTCAACAAAGACATTCGAGTTCGATTACACTTAGCTCAAAGGTACATCATTTGCAGCATAACTAGCTCAAGGCAAGAAGGCTATCTGCCAATAAAAGACCTTCGAGTTCGATTACACTCATCTCAAAGGCACATCATTTACAACATAACTCAAGGCTAGAAGGGTTATTTATCAACAAAGACCTTCGAGTTCGATTACACTCAGCTCAAAGGCACATCATTTACAACATATCTCAAGGCAAGAAGGGATATCTGCCAACAAAAGACCTTCGAGTTCGATTACACTAAACTTAAAGGCGTATCATTTGCAACATAACTCAAGGCAAGAAGGGCTATCTGCCAACAAATGACCTTCGAGTTCGATTACACTCAGCTCAAAGGCACATCATTTACAACATAGCTCAAAAGAAGGGCTATATGTTAACAAAATTGTCGAGTTCGATTTCAGTCAGCTCAATGACACATCAATCACACTACTTTCCGGTTGTAATCGAGAAGAAGACTTGGGTTAGCTGTGCCTTAGTGACAATAAACCATTTTCAAACATCATAGCTTAAGTCGAGAAAAACTATATGTTAATGAAGATTTCTGAGTTCAATTCCGATCCAAGGTCTTTAAACCGAGAAGAAGACCGAATTTGATCACAATTTGGTAACGAGAAACCATATTCCAATTCAAATTTCGAACTACGACTTCAATTCAAGATCATTTCAAGGTGGACTCGACTTCACGACGGATGAGTCATCTGTAACTCAATTCAACAGGGAGTTATTCTTAATTGAAATATCAGAGTCAATTTTCAACTCCACCGATCGAAAATTTGTGTCCTTTTGTCTTTGTCCTATTTTTCGTTCCACGAAAAAGGACAAAGAGGGGCAGTTGAGGACACTAATTTTCGTCCATATAACATTATATATATATATATATATATATATTATCTTTTATTTAAAATAACACATGTTTTTACAGACCCAGCAGTTACAAGGAAACCCAAAACCCAGTCGGCCTAACAGTGGCCCATTTCCAGACCCGCAACCCGGATCCAATGAACTAGCGACCCGCTCCACCAGAGCCCTATGACCCGGTTTGAAACCCTAGAGCCAATTAGGGTTTCAAACTTTCCTCCACAAGCATCGCATGCCCCCTTTCCTCCTCTGCGCCGCTTTACATGGCAGCACACCCCAACGACCGGGTTTCTCGACAACCACCAACATCACGCAAGGAAAACAAAGCCACAAAAATACCACAAAATTAGGAGTTGCAGTTCGATTAGGACTCAAACACTAGAGTTAAAAATATGAATTTTTTCACTATAAATATTCATGTAATCGAACCCACAAAGGACACAGAGGATAAATATGAGTATTACACATGAAAAAACAAAAAAATACGCAAGATCCAAGCACTTGTAGCGTTCGAAAGCAAGAGAGAAATAAAGAAAGGTAGCATTTTTACCTTTGTTTCGGTTATTCTGGTATACATGTGATTTTTTTTACTTGTTTTGACCCAAAAAACATTCGAAAATAACCAAAATATTCGAGATTTCCTTTTTAGATTTACGCCTCCCCGAAGAGTTTTTAAAAAAACAAAGGTGATATTTAAAGAGAGGTAAGGAAAATCTTTGAGAAAAACGCAGAATTTTTTACTTTTGTCGTCGATGATCGGCAGTCGGTGTCAATCAACGGATGCCGACAAGGCGGCGCAACGACCAGAATCTAGAAAACACGATGGTGTTCATCGTGTTCTTGAAGAACACATGAACACTGAGAGAGAGTTTAAGGGGAATGAGTTTTGATTTTGGGAGAAAATGAAAACAAATGAAGGGGGTTTTAATTTTGATATTTATAGTCGACCCACAGACCGACCCACAACTCGACCCGAGTAATAAGTGATCCGCGTGTTTTCGTGCTCAAAGAGGGGAATTGTAATTTTGGTCCCCCCGTTTTTTTAAAGCTTTCTTTCGACCCAAAATTCGATTTTCACATTAATTTTCCTTCTAATTTGGCCTCTTAATTTTGATTTTCTTCTAATTTAATCCCTATTGTTAATTATTATTATTATACATATTTTTTCATATCTATTATATATATATATATATCATTATTTTTTTATATTTTTAGTGTTTTTTTTCTTTTTTCTTTTTTACTATTTATCTATTTGTTTTTAGATCCTATATTTTATATGTATTATATGGGGGTCCCACTTTTTATTTTGTCTCTCACCAAAGTTCCCCCATTTTCAGTGAACTGACAGGGTAATTCTTTAATATTTGTTATGTATATATATTATATTTTTTTATTAATATTTTGTTGACTATATATATATATATATATTATTTCTTTACTATTATTTTTTTCTTATCTTATTTATTTTATTTATTTTATTTTTTTCTTCTCTTTATTTATTTTTAGTATCTTTATATTTGTTTCATTTATTCATATTTATTTATTTATTTATTATTTATTTATTTTTATTTCTATTTTTCTTTTTATTCCTTTTTATTTTCTTTATCTTTTTCTCTTCATGTTATTTTCTTTATTTTCTTTGTTTTCTCTATTTTATTTATTTTCATTTTTTCTCTAACACGTTTCTCGACTTTGTATGAGTACACTTTTAAAACTATCAAAGGTAAGCAATTCGAATCGGATTTTTAAATTTAAATTTAAATTTAAATTTACGCAATTAAAGACAACCGGAAAATTAATTGGTATCGAAAGGGCGGTTCAAGGGTGCTAATCCTTCATTGACTGTAACCAACTCTTGAACCCGACACATTTTTGGTAAAACGCAGACCGGGTAAGATGGTGTCCGATTTACCTAAATGTTTTTAAAATAGTCGGTGGCGACTCTAACCCAATCAATTCAAGTTGAAGCCCAATTCCGAGACCCAACTGAAGATGGACGCCACTGGGATAAAACACTTATAGATGGAAGAACCATCAGTGTTTCTCGTGCAAAGTATCCGAAGCCAAAAGGTGTTAATGAACTGTTACTAGGGTTGAATCGCCAGAGAGCTTTCACTCAATCAGGTATTTGGAAACCTAAACTTGTGAACGGAAAGGAGACTCCAAAAACTGTCAAAGTCTACAGAAAGGTTTCAAATGATATTTCCTACAAGGATGCCTTGTTAAGCAAACTCCATGCTGGTATAGTAAGTGTAGATATCCTTGATTATACTTCAGTGATCATTCAGGAGAATACCAATGGTGGTATTTCAACAGATATTAGTATTCAAGCAGTGAATTATGATTGGATGAAGAGTTGCATGGTGGGTATTATTAAAACCTCATACGAGGAGGACCTTGTTCAAAAGTCTATTTCTCAGGATGGTATTGAGGCTAAGATTGTGAAGTAGGATGGTGTGAATTGGTCTTTTATTGTTATGTTCAGATCAGTCGCGGAGATGGAGAAAACATGGGAGTCGAAGAAGGAGGCTCTTTATTTTTGGTTCCAGCAGATTGCTCATCTCTTACTAAATGGAGCCCCTCATTATTTTTTTCGTGTTAATTTAATGCGAGTGCCACTATCATGATGGCGTGATGATTTCTTCTCGAGCTTAGGGAATCGTTGGGGAGTTTTTGTGTGCTTGGATGAGAGTACTGGAAATATGACTCGGCTGGATAGTGCTCGTATGATTAATAGAGTTGGAAGTCCTTTGGAAATTCCAAAAAATGTCACGGTTGAGTCCATGGGGTTCTCTTTTTGTATCTCTGTTAGCATTGGGAGTATAGATGATGATCAAGCTGTTTTGACGAGTGGAGATTGTGAAGAAAATTTCTCTGATGTGTGGAATGAGGATACTGCTGAATATGCCATTGAAGGAGGAGAAAATGGAATAATGGATCATAACTTGATCTCCGGTGATTTTGGTAAGCTGGGGGCTGGCGTTTTGCGATGTGTTTCAAATCCTTCTCTTAACTCTCCAATTTTCAAGGGGCATGCAATTAATGTGGTCGTTATTCCCCCGAAATCCCCGTGCTCTAGATTAATTCCAGCCAACAGTGATGACAACTGTTTTGAATGTTGTACAAGGTCAAATGTGGAAATGGGTCAAACGAGTAATTTAATGGATACCTCAATTGGGCATGAATTGTGCGGGCGGCCGGATCAGGACAGTGGGCCTGAAGTAGAAGGCCTAATGTGTATGGATCCTATGTCTAATAACCCTTTGGTCCCAATTGTGAATCTGAATGGTACTGCCGTGCCCAATAATCATTTTATTCTCCATGCTGGAAGTGAGGACAATTTTAGATGTGAAGATTTAATTGCGCCAGATTCTGCTCAGATAATTCCCCCTAAAATTAATAGTGGGTGTTCAGTGGAGATGGTCCCAGATAGTTTCGCTCTTTCAATATGACAATCGAGAATAAGGGAGTAAAGAATAAAGATGGTCTTCGTGCGAAGGAGATTTCCCTTGCTCCAGCTACTGGATTTTTTTCGAGCAAGTTTCAGAAGAATCCTAAGGAGGGAAATTAGGGATTCGTTGGGTGGAGTTTCTCCTCAGGTTGAGAACGAGGCTCTCCCTGTTGAATATTCAACAATGGCCGGCACTGTTGAAATTGCAAATGGGGTGGCTAAATGTGGAAAACATGTGCTGCTAAATTGTTCAAAATTAGGAAGCCATTTTGGTTGAATTTTGTGCATGGGAGAATTGCAATTAGTCTATGCACTTTAGGATATTTTCAAAGATTAGTCCTTAAGCTTCAATTATAAATACCCTAGCTCATTTAGCTTCAAAATCATCCCCAAATTATTATAGTTCTCTCTCAAGTGTTTTTGTAAACACGTGTAAATTTTCTCCCTTTAATAAAGATCTGTAGCAGTCCGGAGACGTAAGCATAATTGGTTGAACTCCGTTATCAATTTCGAGTATTATTTTTCCATTTTTATTTGGCATTATCACTAATCTGGTTATAGGGAAATTGCTCGTTTATTTCCATACAACTGGTATCATGAGCTTTTGTTTGTGAATTTTGTCAATTTTCATGAATAGTGAATTTCGTCAAATTTCATGAATAGTGAATTTCGTGAATAGTGAAATTTGGTCGGCGATACGATCTTGTCGACGGAGGTGTTCTAATACATGGTGGTTCGCAGAAATTGTCAGAAACGATCTAAACGAAGCCAGATTCGAGTGTGAGCGATGACTGCAAACGAAGGGAATGTGAAAATTGAGAAGTTGAATAGTGCACTCAAGACCTTCTTGGAAGGACTTAGACCAGGGGCAATGCTTGGGGGAGAGCAAGGTAATGCCCAGAGACTTTCGGAGGCCATAGCTGTAGCCGGAAAGCTGACTGAGCTTGCAGGTGTCAAGCCAAGTAGCGATGTATCGTCCAGGCTCATGCCCAGAGATAACGGCAATAAAGGGGGAGACCGAGAAAAGGTGCAGCGGGGAGATGGTAGAGAAAGCTCTTCGAATGGCCAAGGTGAGCCATCGACTGTTCGTAGCCAAGGAAAACCATCGGGAAAGAATGACAAGGCTAAGTCCGGTTTGAAGAAGAAGGGGAGCAAGGAAAAATTGAAGTGCTACTTCTGTGATGATCCTCGTTTGATTAGAGGATGTCCCGAGAAGCGCCGCCTTACAACCATCATGAAGAGGATGGGAGAAGGAGAAGTAGTGGGAATTGGCACAGTTGCAAGTGTTAAAGCTGCCAAGCCAAGGAAAAGACTTGGTCCGATTGAGGGGATCAATGTGGCCAAGCAAGGAACAAGACATGGTTCGACAAAAAGTTCTCAAGTATTCAATCCAAGATTGAGACGTGATGAGGCTACGAGTGTCAAAGCAGTCAAGCATAGGAAGGGACCCGGTGCGATAACAAGAGATAAAGTGTATCACCCCAACCCGTATTCGACCCGAATACGAGTCCGAGATGTCACATTGACTTTTAAAAACTATATTCTTACAAAATATCAGAACATTTGAACTCTTTTTAAGAAAATACAATAATATATTGTTGAATCATGTTTGTTATAACCGATTTAAGAAAATATACGTTTTATGAACAGTGAACAATACCGTATTAACAATACCGTGAACAGTAATGAACAGTAAAATACATATTATGAACAGTAATGAATAATACCCGAATGTTAAAATTTTCCAAAATTTCAGAGGGGAACCGATTCCCCTTATACAAGGAACCGATACCCTGCTACAATACTGCTATAGTACTTTCGTAAAATACATATAACTTTATAAAAACCTAAGCTTTCATCCGTATAAAATTTATCAATTACATATACGCATTTAAAAACATTACAAAACTCAATCGTATGCCTTTTCATAACCAATTAGAACATATCAGATTTAATCCTTTATTTACATGCCAACCACTATCCTTATTACAAAATACATACTATACATTTCTTTTCTGATCCGATCTTTAGAAAGGAGAAACTGACATGTCTTGCATAACTTTTACCAACCTTCCTCTTCTCGAAACCTACGCGTAAAACAATCACACGCTAAGTCGTTGACTTAGTGAGGCATATAAAACATAATTATATGCTAAATGTAACTTCTACAATGCATGAACATTTGATATTACCTTATCATACCAAAGCATATATTCTTTTTTGTAATATATACATACATGCACATATCATATAATATAACATCATTAACATGCTTATCATTTCTCATTTTATCATCACTAATTTCTTTATATACCATATCATCATATAATTCCTGTAACATTTCATATCATCAAAAGCATATACAAAAACATATATTATATTTGTGTTATCTCTTTAATTAGCCCATGGTACACTTGTGAGAACTAAGGATATGTGACTGCATTGAGGTTGTGCACAAATGCTGTCACCACAGCTCGTAAAATTCCCACTAAGGGCACTGAAATTTGTCCCGAAGGACCACTATGTCCCGTAGGACCACTGTAACCCTCGACTCTTGGCATGCCAACTATACCACTAGCTCTCATATCACATAACATGGGCAATATCATTTATACATTTCATATCTCATGTTCTTTCACATAGCTCTTTATCACATTTCATATGATCACATATTTCGCTCTCTTCTGTCACATACCATATGTATGTGTAAACATATATCTCATATCACATGTGCATATCATCATGTAGTTTATTTTCGTATAATTCATATCACTTATCATATGATTTCATATTCATATGTCACATAGCTCGTATCACTTTGCATGAATTCACATAAAGATATATATCATTTGATCCATGTCTTATTCTTATATCATATAACATGCTCTATCCTTTTATGTTCACATGACATATAATGCATACAAATTATATTCACATATGCCTTTACTCAAGAATTCATACATCGTACAAATCATGTCATCTCTTGTTCTCATATATTTCCAATACATCACATATATCACTCATATAATCAAACATACATATTTTTCATGTCATTCATTTCATTCTCTGTATCCTTATCACACAGCTTATTTTATTTCTCATGTTCTTATTTGAGCACCCATGTCATGTATTGTTTACTTATGTTCATATATATAATCATGTAAATCATGTCACATACCTTAACATTTTAAGAGTTACTTCTTACCATGGTAACTCCGTCACTGGCTCATCGTGAGCCAATGTTCATTCTATAACATAAGCACAAATTAAATTGCAATCACCTTAGCCTTGCTTTGATTCAATCCTAATTCTTTGATTGTTCTGGTACTTGTTTAGGCTCAATATCTACATAAATATAACATTTCAAAATAATTATCAGAAGCCTAAACCTTAAACTTGATGTTAATAACTTAAGCCGGTTTAATGAACCAAAATTCCATTTTTCATTTAGGGGGAATCGATACCTCCAGGGGGAATTTATACCCCCTGCACAATCTAGAATTTTCTTTCAAGCCCAGAAAATCATTGTTCATGCCCGAAAATTCACTATAGCAACTTAAATTCTTCATGTTTCATTCACTTTTCTATTCTTAACTCAAATATACATACTTAAACTAATTTATATCCATTTATTTCATCTTAAACCTCAAAATTCTATTCTCCATATAGAAATCAATAATCATACCAAATTTTCCATGTTATCCAAACTTAATTCTAACACTTCTATCTTCTTATTCTCATAGATGACAAGTTAAATTCAACTTATCAACTCTATTTCAAGATTTCATTCAAGAACTCAAAATCTTTAATCTCTCATATACCTTTCATCTTGTTGTTTTAAAACAAATTAAGCTTTCCTTAGGCTTAATTATCATCTAATAATCAAAACCCAACCTTTAATTCAACAAATAATCAACAAAATAGAAAACTCTTACCTTTTCCTAGCCTCCACGGTTGGAGAAGAAGAAAGGAAGAAGAAGATGAAATGTTTTCATCTTC